ATGCTGTGCGTCTATGTATCCAATTTTGATGTAGTGGCGTATTAATTGGTTCAGGTCCTATATTTAAAATTAATTTTGCTTTTACTGCATTTAAATAATCTTCTACAGAATATTCAGGATCTGTTCCTGTAAATACAATCAGTGGTTTATTGGATGATATTGATGATCCACCCATAAGGTATGGATTCATTGTCATCTGTAGTGATTTTGTGGCATTTGGCATTTGCGAAAAAATTGAAAGTTGATTTTTTGTTATTTTGTGTTGCTGAAGGTAATATGGAAGCGGTATTTCATTTTGCATTTGAGTTGGTTGATATGAGTGCATAGTCATTGGGTTTTGTGGTTGAATCGGTTGAAAAGATTGTGTATTAGTTGGATTTGGTATATGTATTGGTTGTTGATTTCGTGTATCTGTTGGGTTTGGAGAAAAAATTCTATTATATGTATGAGGTCGTCGCGATCCTTGTGTGCGATATTCTTGGGTATAGGGTGCAAAAATGTCTGGTTGTATATAATCATCATCAGATGATAAATAATCCGTATGATGAGGTGCTTGCTTTTTATTTTTATTTTGTTGAAAGAATGGATAATTTTCACTATGATCCTGTGGAGGATGTGAATTAGTTTGAAAATTTACTGAGTTGGTTGTTGTCATTGGGTTATCCCAAAAGTGAGAACATACATGATTATTATTTTTTCGTGGGGGGTAGTTTGCTTTTAACGAATGTGCATAATTATAATTGTGTTCTGCAAAAGTATTTCTTGTTTACGTTTTTCGTGATTTTGATGGTTTTGTCATTGGTCTATATGTTTGATAATCCATATGTGAATATTTTGGAGCAACCGAAGGTTTAAAGGTTGATTGTAAGGTTACTTGTGCCAGTGAAGTATTTGTATTTCTTGGATGTTGTTAAATTTGGGTGTATTGGTGAAATACTTTGTTGTGTAGTTGATGTTGTTTGGACAATTTCTTCATTTATGAAGTGTGATGGTGTTTGAATATCTTGTTGTGTAAAACTTCTAGTTCCATTAAGGTTTTCACTGTGTATGTCGGTTGAATTTAAACTGTTATTTCGTGTATCAGGTAAAAATGTATTGTAGTTTAATGGTGTTGCATCAATGGTTAGTGGTACTACTTTTATATAGTCTCTGTGGTAAGATATTGTACTTATTGCTTGACTTGAGATAGATTGTAGGATATTTATAAATGTAGGATGAGACGATCCAGGGTCCCAAACGTAGTCTGATTGTTCTGTAATGGCAGTGTCATCGTTTGAATTTTGAGGTCTGAAATTTTTTCTTGCTTGTGAGATTAAGTCTAAATTATGTGTGAAATAATCTATTATAAACCATGCCAAAATTTTCTCTAAGTCATGTTTTGTGTGTTGTGAAACATCGTCTATAGTGAAATTTTCTTTTATTATATGTAGAAAAGATGAAAATAATGTGATTTCATTTCGTACTTTTGTATGTTTGGATGTTTCAGTTGGTGAGATACTTTGAAGTTCTGTTTTTTCTAATATAGAGATATAGGTAAATATTATTGCGAAAACTTCATTAGTGAATATAGAGTTTGCTCTTTGTGAATTATGATATTGTATGCTTTTGATATAATCTAGGAATACTTTTGAAAATTCTAATTCAAGATCATCTGTTTGAATTACATATTTACGATGATTCGTATTTGGTGTGCTGAATTCTATGGTGTAGATTCCATATTGTTGTGTTAAGTTACATATGTCTTTCAAATAATGTTCAATAATTTGTCTTTTGATTTTTACATCTGGGAATTCTGCTTTACATGGACTGATTCCGGGTTCAAACAAATTTACGAGTAAATTCTTGCAAAAATCATGTTGCCCTCTATTATCGGGAGCATCTATGAGGAAGGGGTAAACCTCTTCGTCATCTGGACTATCGTCACTTTGAGTGTGGCTCATTTTTTCGTTTGATGACTGCTAATATATAGCTATCGATGTGTCTAATTGGTTGATTTCAATTATACAGGTGTACTGGTTTGTGTTTGTTTTGCTTTTTTTCTCTTCTTTTTCCTCTTTTTGATGAATTTGAAGTTGTTTCTGAATCGGAAAAATATAATTGATCGTGAATGGGGCAATTTTTATCAATTGATTTTTTTTAGTTTGTAGAGTTGGTCTAAATTGCTGGCTTCTGATTCGGAAAATGCGTTTTTTTTTGAAAATCTTTTTCGTGTGATTTGTCTTTGTTTGTTTATAATTTTTCTTTTTATTGTTTTTCGTTTTGTTCTAATGTATCCAACTGTTTGTGTATGAGGTGTGGTTACAAGATCGTATTTTTTGTTATCTATCTCACAGTTGTGTAAAACGATTGTTTGCTTTTTTCCTAGATTTTTGAATGACATAAGGTTTAGGATGAAGGATGCAAAAAGTTGTTAGGTATTTCTATTTTCCTAGACTGTTAGTCCTTACGATTTTTTGGTTAGCTTAACCTGGGTCTTTTTATTTAGGGTTGGAGAGAAAAGTATATCAATTCCGAAGAATGATTTTACTTTCTCGTGGCTAGTCTAAGCTAAGGTGTTAACCTACTTAATCTTAATTAGGGGTAGTGATTGTGTTCAAGGTTTGGAGAATAGTAAATCGATCCACAAGGTTCAGGTATAATTAGAACGCAAGTAGTTCGTTAGATACTATTTTAAACTTACTAAGTCTAAGATATATCCTGGGTCTGGTAAGAGGAGGGTTCAAGTGAAGGATGAATAACCGAAGTTTTTCACTGTTTATTTTAATTTGAATGGTTAGTTTTATTTAAAAAATTTCTATTAATCTTGGGTCTTTTGGAAGGGTTGGATAGTGAATCGAAGTTTGAGGTCGTTAGACGCTTGCTAAATAGGTGGGGGAGAACAAAATTGTTCTTTTTGATCCAAGGATAGGCCTTGATGATCAGGTTTTAAATTTAGTGAAATAGAAATTTAATTGAGATCCAAGGATAAGCCTTGATGATCTGATTTTAAAATTAAGTGAATTTAAGTTTAAAGTGGTTCAAATTTATTTAAGAAAAAAATTTAGTACTTTAATGATATTAGTGAGCTTATGATTGCTGTTATGTTTAGGTGATGAAGCTAGGACAACAGTTGATTTATGATTACTAACAATTTATTGTCATGCTACTAATTTTTGTTTTCAATTTCAAAAAATTTTTTTCAAATATGTTTTATATAAGACTGCAGAAATTAAGAAAACGATCTGAGATCTTTTTATCAATCGTTATTGCACATTAATAATTTTGTTTAGCGCCTGAAATGATCATAAAGATTGACTTCAAAATTTTATGTTTGCAGATGAAAATCTAAATTCATTGCAAATAAGATTCTAAATATAAAAGTTTGTGTTGGCTATATGGTAAGTTTCTACTTTGTCGTATGTCGTCTCTTGTTCGAAGTCTTCTTCCAATTCCGGGTAGTTCTATTATTGTTCGGAATATCGGCTCTGATCTATTGAGTCGTAGAGACATTTCGATTACATTATTATCGTATAACATTTTGATAATGTTTTGTCTAAATTCTAATCTATTTTTGGTTAGTTCTAAGCTATTAAGGTCTTATTCGAGACTTATGGTCGCACCAGATGAGTTAGGACCGATGTGGTATAACTCATAGAGTAATTTCGGATAGGGTACACCGTCTGCTCGTCACGCTATCTTATTTTCGGCCGGATAGATTCGTGCAACTTCTTAGTCTAATACCGACCCTAATCTTACTCTTATACTTTCTAGTCTCAGGGTGTTTAACTAGTCTCTGCTAGGCTCAATAGATCTAGGGTATACTGAATTGTTGCGGCTGCTGAAGTTCTCTTGGAGAGACAACTAATTTCTAAGTTAAATTCAAATCTCTCTGGTGCTGAAATTACAAGTAATTTCAGCACTTACAAATAAGTGGGTTGTTAGTAAGATGGATCATGATTGGTTAATATTAAATACTTTACAGTGGTAAAATATCTAATTTATCCAATCATGAAATATAGTTTGGCTCGGGCCAAAAGCTTGAACGACACGTTTTCTCCTTGTTTGTAAAAGATTAATTTTTGTCTCCTAAAGGTAATTATGAATGTGGCAATGAAAATATCTTCTAAGTTTGTCAATAGCTATTTTGTTGTAATTCTTAGACCCTATCCCAGTTTTTTTTTGTGATTATGCATATATAGATTGTGATTATAGATTTTTATATAGAGAGAGGTATTATGTAATCATATATATTGTTATACAATTATATGTTTATTTACTTATATTAAAATCAATCGTTGTGATTTTGCCATTCCGGCCGGATGGCATGTGTTTTGATGTCCTCGTTTTTTGTTTCGATTGGGTTCGACCAGTGCCCTAACTGTCTTTTTTTCAATTTTCTCCTCTACAAATTTTATAATGTATTGCAAGTAAAATTATGATGCATGAGTTTCAGGTGGTTTCAATTTTGTGGATATAAATGATTGTATATCAAAAATAAAAGATTAAGGCTCAGATTGTTTTTGAGCTAAAGCGTCTAAAGGAAATAGCCAAAATAGTCTGTGACATTAACAACTATTCGAACAAGATAGAACTTAAATCATTGCTCTGAAATACTATATTCTTTGGCTCATGACTATAATTTAAGAAAACATTTCAAACACTATTTTTTCTTACCATAAGAACCCTTAAATCACAGAAATCTGAATATTTCTAACTCTGAAGCCCTAGACTTTTAATCAGTATTCTGCACTAATTATTGCTGCTGCATGCCACTTTCGGATGGATGTCCTACTGATCATAATATTTTTCTCAGTTTCGAATTACGAAGAAAAAATTATATTTTTATCTGACGATTAACGTTATTGTTTCCTTCCTTTTAACGTAGAAAAGTAGATTTTCTCTAGTGTATCTCATTTTAGGTTGTTTTAGCAGTAGATATAAAATTATTTTTAAATCCAAGACTTTTAATAAAAGAAGATATTGATTCTAGAAAAAAAAACAGGAAACCGTTTGGTTTTTAGATGGATTCTTGGTGGTGTTGCAATTCTACTCAGTACCTGATGAGGGCACTAACTTCTAAAACTACTTGTGTCCTGCTGCCTATCAGGAGTGGAATCAATCGGATCAAAGAAAGAAAAATCTAATTATCTTCATGCGATCATATTTTATCAAGGGGTGCGGAGAACTTTGGTTCTTGATGATTTTAAACTCTAAAATTTACAACCCATTCAAAAAAACAAGGGTACCCCAGTGTTTTAGGTGTGCAAATCTTTTGTAAGATCTGCATTCACAGTTCACTAGAGTAGCATTTGAGATAACACCTGTTTGTGAATGAGAAAATACGACTCTCTAAAGAATCAGCTGGCTTTTTTCGCCATCATTTTTTTTCGAAAATGACTTCATTTGCTAAATGTTCAGAGCAAAAAAATTGTTAAGCAAAAAGGTAAAAAAACTCAATAAATGTAGAATACTTTAGTATCACCCGCACCGAAATTTCTCGGATAAAGTTAAATTATATTGAGAAAATGTTGCCATTATAATCGATTACGTGTAACCAATTTATGCAACCTTTTCTATTATAACAGAAAGAAAATAGATCATTTTCATGACGATTATATTGTCATTATAATCGATTGTTTTCGTAAAAACACAATCCTTTAAAATCCATTTTTATGGATTATAATTCTTTTAAAATCCATTATATTGGATTTTAATCCGTTTAAAATCCATTATAATTGAATATAACCGATTATAGTCTATACATTTTTTGGCAAAATCATTTGCAAAACATGCAACATTTCTGCGTTACTCACGGCCTACTCACAAATCTAAATCTACTCGAATTAAACCCCCCCCCCCCCCCCCACTTCACCCCCATCCATTCACCGCATTTGCCCAAACCCTATCCCCCTTTTTAACAGGGGGATGGGGTGAAACTAAGATGAGGGGGGGGGGGGTAAACTGTGGGAGGGGGGGGGGGGGTGGGGGGTGTTAAATTGTGAGGGGGGAGGGGGGGGGGGTAAACTGGGGTGAAGATCTAAATCTTAAACCCACTCCTCGAAATCTACCAATAAAAAACCCCCAATAAAGAGGGGGGTGGAATGGCGGTTGTGGTAAACTGTCAGGGAGGTGCGGGGTAAACAGGGGGGCGTTAAAACAGGGAGGAACACGGGGGGTAAACAGTGGGGGGGGGGGGGGGGGGTGGTTGTGAATAGGGAGGAACACGGGGGGTAAACAGCGAGGGGAGGGGCTGCAAGCAGGGAGGAAAAGGGGGGGGAGTAAACAGGGAGGGGGTAAACGGGGTATATATGACAAAAACTAAAAAACAATTGAAAGGAGAAATGTAACAATTTACGAAACCTACTGCGTAGCAACTGCACTAAATAGGAAGTGCGATACTTTTGGAAAAAAAATTGTACATTTAATGACTAACGTCTCGAAAAAAGTCAATACAATTGATTATAATCGAACAGAAGGGATTTTTTGGCATAAAAATATACGAAATATAGTTAATTTTTAATGGATAATAATCGATTATAATGGATTATATGTATATTAAAAAAATTGGATTAAAGTCCATTTTAGATGGGTGTTAATGGATTATTTTTGTAATTTTATAGATACTGACTATAAAAAGACAAAATAATCGATTATGCTTCATGGAACTCCAGCGCGGGATCGCCATAAAATTGCAATAAAATCTAGGACCCAAATAATCGATCATATTGTCAAAAAAATGGGTTATATTATCTGAAAAGCATGCTTTTTGAAAACTCGAAGCAAAAATGGAAATCAAACCAAACGACACAAATCATGAAAATCATCAAAATGAATAAGATTTTGGATAGCAAAATGTGCAAAAAAAATTTAGAAAACATCATTGTAAATCAGGTTTTTGGCAAAAGCATTTGTAGAAAAATGAAGAAATGGGTCAACATAAATCACATTTCAAGCTCAAAAAAGCAAAAAAAACATTGAAAGTCATCATTGTAAATCAAACTTCGTGCAAAACATAAGTAAAGATTCAGAAAAATTGTTAATTTAAGCCATATTTTGAGTCAAAAATATGCAATGAAATCATAAAAAATCATCATTGTAAATCAGATCTTGGACATAAACCTAAAAGAACAAATGAACAAAAGAACAAATGTGTCAATACAAACCACATTTTGAGATCAAAAATATGCAACAAAAATAAATAAAAATGAGCGTATTGAAAACTTTCAAAAAATTTTTCAAACTGGGTTACTTTTATCAAAAGATGCAATTCGCTCAAAAATTTGCACCTGAAAGGTTTTTGTCCAGCAGCTCAATAACTAAAACATTCATAGGACATCACTGTAATTTCCATGAGCTCTTGGACCCACATAAATCATTGGTTACCCGGGAACAAAGTTGCATTTCAATTAGTTTCAATAAATGAAAAAGCTTCTGCCAAGGAGTTCCAGATAATTCTTTCGCACAGAAAAATTTATGAATTCAGTATGATAAATTTCTTACCTGGCATGCAATTTGTATCAATATCAAAAATCATGAAAATCACAATCTGCAATTTTTTATTTTTATCTTCATATGGTTTAGCTGGTTTTTGGAACCAGTTGGAAAGTATTTATTTGTTTTTTAGCTCCCGATAAAATATTTTTTTTGCTGACCAATGACGATTCATGACTAAAATTTAATCTAGCTTTGTAAACCCAAAACCCTAGTGTTTCAGAGAATTAACAAAAAAGATTTAAATCTGTTGCTCTCTTCTTTCTTCTAACTTCCCGATAAAACCAGTTTTTTTCTATATCTAAAAAAGTTGCAAAAACCTAACCGGCCAAAAATTGAGAGCGTGACAAACAGAAATTGTCAATAAGATAGGCATTTTACCTGGTAGGTAAAATTTAACATTATCAAAGCTCTTGCAATTAATTTTTAGCTGGTTTTTGGATCCAGTTTGAAACTAGTTTTCTTATAATTTATTTCCTGTAGAACTTTTAATACTAACCAATCACGATCCATGAAAAATTCTATTCTGTTTTTTAAGCCCAAAATCGAAGTGGTTAAGAGAACTAATAGCAAAGATTGAAATCAGTTGCTCTCTTCTTTCAACTAACTTCGCGATAAAACAGTGAATCACTAGTTCTATTGAAACTATGAAATACCAGAGTAAGTATAAGATGGGTATTTGACCAAAATGTTGCAAAAAAATTATCCAACCGAAGTAAGATAGCGCAAAAAACAGACGGCTTACACTATCCGAAACTATTTGGACGTTGCAAAAAATGCAAAAGTAAGCAGAAACGACAATAATTGACAGAAAAAACAATCTGTCCAGTAAAATATATTACAATCAAAAAAAATAATGAGCCGTAAATATATTATTAAATAGCCTACAAAGTCGACTCATATCTTTTCGACAAAAGCAACTGTATCATAACCATCAATATTAAAAATACATCCCTCAAAATGCAACTACTTTTTACTGAAACGCACGTTTATGCATATCACTTGTCTTTCCCCACCATATTTTGATGAAAAATCCAGTTTACAAAATTTTTGATTTTTTAATCAAATTATGATGGGGAAGACCTGAGACATGCATGAACGTGCGTTTCAGGGCCTGAAACGCACGTTTATAATTGTCTCAGGTCTTCCCCCACCATTTTTTTGATAAAACTTATAAAGTGATTGGTTTTTTAATCAAAATATGGTGGGGGAAGACCTTAGGCATAAATAAAAGTGCGTTTCAAGCCCTGAAACGCACGTTTATGCATGTCTCAGATCTTCCACCACCATACTTTGATTTAAAAAACCAATTTATAAATTATTTGGCTTTTTTCATCAAAAAATAGTGGTGAAAGACCTGAGACATGCATAAACGCGCGTTTCAGGTCCGAAACTACTCTACGAGAAGGCCACCCGGACCTGAACTCGTCTGGTACGACCAACGAATATCGAGTAGACCTGCAGTTAACCTAGTTTCAGCAATCATCAAACAAATCAAGAGAAAAAATAAAAATTAGCTTAGTTTTACGTCTCAATAAGTCTAGTTGAGCCCAGCCACTAAGAAAGACGAACCTACATCAAAAAGCGAAAAGTTCAAGTTTGCATAACAATGAAAAAGTAAGCAGAAACGACGATAATTGACAAGAAAAACTATCCGTGCAGTAAAGTATAATACAATCAAAACAAATGTTGAGCCGTAAATATATTTTTAAATAGCCTAAAAAATCGACTTAAATCTTTTCGATAAAAGCAACTGTATCAAAACCATCAATAACGAAAATACATCCATCAAAAGGCAACTACTTTATACTGAAACGCACGTTTATGCATGTCAGATGTCTTCCCCACCATATTTTGATAAAAAATCTAATTTACAAAATATTTGATTTTTGAATCAAAATATGATGGTGAAGATCTGAGACATGCATGAACGTGTGTTTCAGGGCCTGAAACGCACGTTTATGCATGTGTCAGGCCTTCCCCCACCAATTTTTAATAAAATAACCGTCTTAAAAAAGGTTTTGTTTTTTAATCAAAATATGGTGGGGGAAGAACTGAGGCATAAATAAAAATGGATTTCAAGCCCTGAAACGCAATTTTATGCATGTATCAGATCTTCCACCACCATACTTCGATTTAAAAAACCAATTTGTAATTTATTTGGCTCTTTTAAACAAAATATAGTGGTGAAAGACCTGAGACATGCATAAACGTGTCTTTCCCCACTATATTTTGATAAAAAAGCCAAATAAATTATAAATTGGTTTTTTAAATCAAAATATGGTGGTGGAAGATCTGAGACATGCATGAACGTGCATTTCAGGTCCTCAAACGCACGTTTATGCACGTCTCAGGTCTTCCCCCACCATTTTTTATTTTAAAAAAATCCAATGTATGAAATATATATTTTTTATTTAAAATATGGAAGGGGAAGACGTGAGACATGCATAAACATGCGTTTCAGGCCCTGAATTGCACGTTTATGCATGTCTCAGATCTTTCTCTACCAAATTTTGATTTAAAAAAACCAATTAATAAATTTTGGTTTTTTTAATCAAAATATGGCGGAGGAAGACATGAGACATGTATAAATGTGCGGTTCATGCCCTGAAATGCGCGTTTATTCATGTCTCAGGTCTTCTCTCACCAGATTTTGATAGAAAACAATTTATTAAGAAATGGTTTTTTTTTAATCAAAATTTGGTGGGGAAGACCCGAGACATACATAAACGTGCGTTTCAGTCCCTGAAACGCACCTTTATGCATGTCTCATGTCTTCCCCACCATATTTGGATAAAAAATCTAATTTATAAAATATTTGTTTTTTTTTTAGTTAAAATATGGTGG